CATGTAGACAGATGAAGCAATCATTTGAGATTAAGTTCACATTTCTAGACGTCGTTCAGGTTTCCGAAACCCCGATATTACTTATTTCCTCGGTTCTCATTTAGTCATGTACAATGTAMAATTCGTATTTGACGTAGTTCATGACTTCATGTGTGTTTGGCCTTGGCRGTTGAGCCTCGGACTGTCGGACTTAATGTGCGGTTTGCAATCGCCAATCGACGATTGACGTCAGCGTCAACCCGGGATAATATATAACCACAGAACGACATGATATAACGTTGAACACRGAACAATTACGTATTTCCGACTTTCCGAGGTGGGATAAAAAATTAATAGAAACACCTTCTTACGAATATTGAATAAAGATACATCTTTATGCTKTAAATATAATATTATTAATTGTTGTCCATCTATATTTTTTTATTTTAAATTAAATAATATGCGTATATATTATCTACGAATCCATGGAAAAAGTGACCTTAATAGTTAATACCTTATAATTCAAATAATTATCAAGGRAAAAGGAAATGAAGATCATACATCGTCAGCTGTATTTAMATGTTGTCATTTTCATTTTTAAGTCGAATATCATACTCTTAATTCTTTTATYTATCACCTAACAGTTTTATTGGGCAACCTTAAGTTTAAATACACTTTCACAGTGTGTTTAAATGTTAWGAAAAAATTGAAAATGGTACTAAATTCCAATTATTTTAAATGAAAATTTTTCCGATATGTTGTACCGTATTTTTATTTCAGAGCTTTTTTTCGAATACTTACCCAGTATCCATTATATAGGTTGTTAGGTATTTGATTAAAAATATTTCTATCATAGATTGTAACTTAATTTGTGGATCGAAACGACATATTAAATATAAGTGCGAACAAGGTGTATCTAAACTGTGGAATTAGTGGAATTGTAGAAGCATTGATTAAGTTGGGTCTGCAGGCTGCAGCATGAGCAGACCGTCTGCTTAATCAATGGTAGAAGTAAATAGTAATTAAATGACGAAATCCTCCACAAGACCACAAAAATGTGAAATAGTGAAATGCTAATCTAACGAAATTTCGATTATTTCATGGTGTCAAAAACGACAACGGACAAATTCCGCCAAAATGTTACCCTTATCTGTATTTTGATTTTTTAACATTTTCCCCGTAGATAATATTTATATATATATATTATCTATGCATTATCATTCGTTACTTCGTTAGTGTGTCATCAAAAGTAAACAATAACATTAGTATAGTAATTTATGATTACTCATTATTTTACTATTAAAAAATAAACGTACAAATGTACAATGTACGTTATGCTCAAAGGTACAATAACAATACTGTCGTTGATARTGTCGTGGCTCCGTCTTTTTCACATCGAATTATGATTAATAATGTATACCATTAGACCATACCAGTTTCATTTTATTTACACGTAACTGCATATCATAATCAATTTTATATAATTTAACACTAAACATAAAATGACCGACGATTTGTGCAATATTGATTCGTGGGGTTTGCCTGACCAAATCGTAGAAGTAAATATTTTATATTTATTGAGGCGCTATGCTATTATATAATATGTTTTTGTCCCCTTATAAATATGGAAATGTACAACTAAGAGCAATTGAGTTCTGTTGAACCAATTTTTTTTATTATCTTTTGAATATTGTAAGCCTATTATCTAATTCATAAGTAGAAAAATTATTTAGGTTTTCGTTAAAATTTATCCTAGTGTTTAAATTCTTAAGCGATTTATGAGTATTCTGAAACAGTAGTATCTTGCATCGAAATAACTAACTTCAAAAATTTAACTATCTATTAAAACGAGATGTAAAAAGTAGATAATGTTCTTACCTAAATTAGATAACATTTAATTTCATTCCAATTTTAGAACAACAACCCAAAATTGGTTCTGTTGAATTTCAATTGTCTATATTATATATTTTTATTATTCTAATATTTKTAAGACAGAAACAACTCACTAAGTGTTGTATTCTTTTAATTGTATTTAAATTATTGTCACCAATTATATAAGTGGAACATAATATTTTATTAATTTTAGAACTACAAAAGACGAGGAATTGTATCAATGTTTCCGTGGCAAGTGGAATGTTTAACTAGTGATGGTGTTTTGGATGGTCGCAATCTTGTGTACTCGGCACCTACATCAGCTGGTTAATATTTTATTTATGAAGATTTAGATAGTTTTTCTAACCATGGCTAACCTTTTTATTTTAATGTATTTTTCTGGTAGTTCAAAATGTCTACCTATTACAAAATAAATTTTACTTACCATCGTTTTTCAGGAAAAACTATGGTTGCTGAATTATTAACAATGCAGACAGTACTTGAAAGAGATAAAAAAGTTTTAATAATTCTTCCATTTGTATCAGTTGTACGAGAAAAAATGTTGTATTTTCAAGTAATATGTTTTTATTGAATTATTTTAACAATTGTATTAAATTATTAGTTAAAATGTCAATGTGTCAATAATRATTAATTATTTACTATAGGAATTATTTGAAGGAACAAACAAAAGAGTTGCTGGATTTATGGGCAGTTATACTCCGTCTGGTGGATTACGTTCTGTAAATGTTGCTATTGCTACTATTGAAAAAGCTAATGGTATAATAAATCGGTAAGCGTTATAGTAAAAATTAATTTTTATTAAATTAACTAAAATGATTTTGACTTAAGCCTGATTGAGGAGGATGGACTGCAAGATGTCGGTTGTATAGTTGTAGATGAACTACATATGCTAGGAGATTCAAATAGAGGCTACCTACTAGAACTATTGCTAACAAAGATTAAATACATGTCTAAAATGTAAGTATTTCTTAAAATCATATTTTATTTGTTAATTTGCCTATGAATATTTTTTCTTCAAAATATTTGATTATTGATTACAGAAAAAGTAATTTATCAATTCAAATTGTTGGCATGTCTGCTACATTACCGAATTTAAACATTCTTGCAAAATGGTTAGATGCTACACTATATCATACAGATTTTCGTCCAGTTCCTTTAAAAGAATATTTAAAAATTGGAAAAAATGTATATAATGCCAACAATCTTTCTTTAAGTCACAMAATTGAACCCAGTATTGAAATTAAAGTAATGGACYATAAAATATTGTATTGTTTGATCAGAATTTTGTTACTTTACTGGATGGAATTTTTTTGTCTTATCTTATTTTTTGACTTTGACATCGTTTTTTGTATGACCGACTACCTACATCAGTTAAACCAAAAAATTGCAAAAAAATAAAGTATCCGCCAAAGTAACAAAGTTTGGTTTAATCATAATATTTCTTATACAATTATTAATGKTTTTGTGTTTAGAATGATCCAGATAATATAAAATATTTGTGTATTGATACAATTCTTCAAGGRTATTCAATAYTAATATTCTGTTTTACAAAAAAATGGTGCGAAACTTTAGCTCTTGAAATTGCATCTGAAATTAAACGTTTAGGTAACTATSCTTGTTTTTTTTATACATATATTTAAAGAATYATGAAAAAAATCAAAAGTAATACTTAATAATTTATGTTGATTATAGGTGGAGRTAATACATCAAAAATTGGAATTGAATTACGAAATCAATTAAATGGTGAAAATCTAGGAGATGTGTTGGAGCAGCTTAGAAGGTGTCCCGTTGGTCTTGAAACTGATTTAAATAAAACTATTTCGTTTGGTGTTGCTTTTCATCATGCAGGTGATCTTTAATTATATTTCCCTTCAATAATTTTGTATAGAATTTGTATTTTCTGCTTATTTAAGTTAATTATAATATGATTTGACAGTGGTTGCCAGTTGGTCTGTGTATGTAACWTACATTTTTGGGAAATTATTTGTTGCAATACACAATAATATTTCAATGATTTCGAACATAAAATCATATTTATAATATTAATATATTTTCTTCAATCTTTACTGTAACTAATGTTTTTATTARTTATTAATATTTAGGCATGTGAACAATTATGAACTTGCTTAGTGAATTTAAATATATTCATAATTTTGTATAGGTCTTACAATGGACGAAAGGGACATAATCGAAGGTGCATTCAAACAAAATATAGTAAGAGTATTAATTGCCACATCAACTTTATCCTCTGGTGTAAATTTGCCTGCAAGAAGAGTGATTGTGAGATCACCTCATTGTCATGGATTTCCTATTGATATTTTACAGTATCGACAGATGATTGGACGCGCTGGTCGTATGGGTGTTGATACTGCTGGTTTGTTACTATTGGGTTTCTTAATTTTTTTTGTTTTTAGTTTTAAACATTTCATTTTTTTATTTTATTTTAGGAGAAAGTTATTTATTATGTAATGAGAATGATCGGCGTATGGGCGAAGAAATAGCAACTCAAAACCTTCCTCCAATTAAAAGTTGTTTAGGAGTGGGAGATTTTTCTAGTTGTTTAAAACGAGCACTGTTAGAAGTAGTTGCTGGTTGTGTTGTTTGTAATACTGAAGAAGCTTTTGAGTATATTAAGTGTACTTTACTTTATATATCAAATGGTGAAAACTGTAAGAATTTGTCATAATATTTCAATGTTTTTAATTTATTAGAAGTTTGATATTGAATATTTATAGTGAATGAAACTCCAATCAATGAGTGTCTAAAATTATTAATTGAAAATCAATTTGTACGAGAAAGTGACAATAAACTAGCTCCYACTAATCTAGGTCAAGCATGTCTTGCAGCATCTGTTACACCTGAAATTGGTTTAAAACTGATCAAAGAGTTAGATAGAGCAAGACAAAATTTTGTCCTTGACTCTGAACTTCATTTACTTTACTTAGTAAGATAGATTATTTATAGATATTTTTTATGTAGTTATAAATAAAAATAAATAATTTATTGTACTTTAGATTACACCATATTCTGTAAGTGATCAGATTGGACATTTGGATTGGTTTAGAGTTCTTCATGTGTGGGAAAAATTACCACATTCTATGCGCAAAGTAGGAGATATGATCGGTATTGAAGAAGGATTTATTGTTAAAGCTATGACTGGAACCAGTTTTAGTACATCTTCAGATGTATGTTATTCATTTAATTTTTAGAGCTAATTTTAATCAACCAAATTTATTTGTGATACATTTGACAAAAACTGAAAAATATTTTGAATATTTTAAGCTTGCAATATGTTTTGTACAAAAATGTTATACAAATATTCTAATCTATACTCCAATCATGTTAAAAAGGAACCTTAGATTTCAGAGTYTGGAAATGTGTATTTAAGCTATACTCTTGTGCAGAAATCTGTCATAGAGGTTCTTTCTTAATGTGAAAGAGTAWAGTTAGCATAAAATTTAAACTAGCATACTGGTCTAATATTTAAATGTTAGAACTAAAGTTAACTGATTATATTTGTATTTAGAAACATAAATTAGCTGTTCATAGAAGATTCTATACAACACTACTATTACACGATTTAATAAATGAGATTCCCATTAACACTGTAGTTTTAAAGTATGGTACATCTAAAGGTCTTCTGCAAAGTCTCCAGCAATCAGCTTCAACTTTTGCTGGTCAGATTTACTAAAGTTTTTTTAATTTTATGGATTTAATTTWATTTWATTCTGTTTAGGTATGGTAACACAGTTCTGTAAGAGACTTGGTTGGTCATCCTTAGAATTATTAATATCACAGTTTTCTGAGAGACTACAGTTTGGTGTACAGAGGCAACTTGTTGAATTGTTACGATTGGACTGTTTGAACTCTATCACTGCCCGGACATTGTATAATGCAGGAATACAAAACATTCCTGAATTAGCATTAGCCGATTTACGACTAGTGCAGCGTACTCTTACCAAGGCAATTCCATATCAAAGGTAAGCATAGTTGAACATTTTATTAGTACATTTATTGCTTAAAATTAATTTTTAGTAACATAAATAATAATAATACCAATGATGATGACAAACGAAAAAACATTTGGTTGGCTGGACGTTTTGCCCTTAACGAAAAGGAAGCTGCTATATTTATCATAAATGAAGCAAGGCATCTTTTAAAAGTAAGGTTCAATATATATA